TTCCATTGACCGTAAAATGTTTTCCGTTGACTGGGAGTTTTACGCGAACCAAACACCTGAAAACGGGAAAAATATTTTCCGTAAAATGTTTTTCCCGTTCCAAACAGACCCTTAAATCAAATTAGGAATAATTTTGCATTAAAGTTTTTTTTAAAAAAAATAAATAAAGAGTTTTGTACGGGTAAGTATTATAGAAAAATATAAGATCGAGTATACTTAAGAGTTTTAAATCTTTTTTGGTAAAATTATCGGTATCTGATCTATTAATCGAATAATTCGGATCGAGTATTGCAGAGGTGAGGACAATCCTCATAACCCAATTTTTTCTATTCATAAATGTCAATATTTCAACTCTTAAATTTACTTATAGAATCTAATGTCTCATCCCACTAAACCAAATGATTATTGATAGTTTGACATCCCTTTCAATTTATGGTTGAAGAAAGTTTTAGCTAATATAGTTATTGTATCAAAATTTTCAAAAAGTAATAAATATTGAATCGAATAATAAGAAATTTGGTATCCTTTAGATCATAAATAAGAAAAGACTAATTATTTACTTACTCTTCCTTACAAGTTACAACAATAAGCCCACTAAAGTCATGAAAAAGGCCTGAGGTAGATTCCACAGAGATCAAATATACGGTTAAAATTATTTATAAAAAAAATAAATAAAAACCCAACAAACACAAAGTGAAATGTAAAAGGAAAACATCAGAAAATTTTTATTAAAAAAATAAAATGAAAAAAATAAAAATAAAAATAGAAGAAAGTATATATGCTTTAAAGTATATGCCAAGAAGATCCTCTCACCACCATCTTTTTCTGCATTGAAAAGCAAGCAATTGGTCTCCCATCAGTAGCCTATGTGTGGGAGATATTCTCTTCCCTTTAAAGCTTTCTTCTATTTGAATGGAGTATAGGGATTCAAATAGTGGATACATTATTATAATAGTGACCGTTCTATATCAGTAAAGGCACTGTTTTAAACCGTCGTGATATCTGTAATGTTTATGATAGCACTCGTTATGTTTGTAATTGCAATAAATGCAGTACAATTGAAAACATGACCGCAATTTAAATCTCTGGTGGAATATGATGTTGGTTTCCTCTCTACCAATGGATATAGCTATAAGGAAGCACCAACAGATTGCACTGAAGCGATAACGGAGGAATACTAATCTAGGTTCTCGAGTTCAGAGATGATAACAGATCAAATATCTTAAAATATTTTCTTTTGTAACGTTCAACGTCTTTAAAAATGGATCTGATAGTTGCAAAAATCATAATCCGAACTATCCATTATCTGCTTTAAGTCAGGATGGTTTTGTAAGTGTTCTATAGACCATGAAGCTTTGGCAATGTTATTGTACTTTGTTTTTTTGTGTCATTTAAGTTTTATTGTGTCTAAGCATTCTTAATGTAAGCATTTATCTTTTAATTTTAGTATGGTTTTTGATTTCTGAATAATTAAGATACGGATTTAATCATTGTATTCTAATTTTATCATTTTATTCCTTTTACTTTTAAATTTTTTGAAATTTAGGCCATGGGCTTAATCGGTGGACATTAATTTTGTAATGTTGAATTATGGTATCAATCATTATATTTTATGTAAGTTGTAGATTTTGTATTTTTTTTCCTCTCTAATTTGATATTTTTAGGGCTTATAATTTAATCATGTTGCTCTTGTACGTTTAGGTCAAGACTAAAATTTTAAAATTTTTAAAAAATTATCAGGATTAAATTTAATCAAATCAGAATGTAAGGAATAAATCCATAATGCATGCATAATATATAGACTAATGAGATAATTAACCTTTATTCTGCTATAATATTTTTCAAATTTTCGTTTTATTTAGAGTTACTTGCATCTCATTTTAAAGTTATCCCTAAACTTTTAAATGTTTTAATTTCATCACTAAATTATGGCTATAATTCTAAATCATAAGAAAAAAGATGTACTATAAGAGCTAGTAAAGAACATGTTTAGAACTAGACAAAATCATCCATCGTTCTTATGTTAAAAAAGAAAAACTCGTTAAACAAAAATAAAATAACATAACTAGATTATAGGAAGTGTAACACCCCTAACCTGTACCCGACCCGGATATGAGTCCGAGGTGTCACATTGACTTTTCAAACTTTGACTCATGACAAAAACTCAAGAAAATTTAAAACTTTCATTAAAGTCACAGCGGTTTGTTTAACTCAATCAATTAGTACATGCCAACTATATTCAATATACAGAATACATCTAATTCAAGACATATTTTCTGATCTGATCTTCGGTAAGAAGTAACTGACCGGTCTTGCTCCTCTTCACTTTCTTCTAGCTTTCTGAAACCTACGTGTGAAACACTCACACGCTAAGTCGATGACTTAGTGAGGCATAAAAACATATAACCACTACTAATGCATTCATAATCTATACTTATTATATCATACAAAATCATACATTCTGTCATGCAACCATTATCCACTTGTACACACACATCATTCACATATTCTTATAACAGGTTTCCTAGCACAAAACATGTAAATCATATGTAAGGTATTTATTATTATCTCTTTATTAGTCTTATTTTCGTTCTTTATCTTTTTGTCATATGTTCTTGCATCAATTTCTCTTAACCAAGCTATATTCACATCATCATATCACATATATCACTTCATACCACAAAGATTACAAACCAATCACATACTATCATGCAAGGTTCTTTTATATTATTTCCTTTATTAGCCCATGTACACATGTGAGAACCATAGATATGTGAGTCTATAGAGGTTGTGCATTAATGCTGTCACCACAGCTCGTATAATTGCACCGAAGTGCCACGTAGAATTGCACCGGAGTGTCGCGTAGAATTGCACCGTAGTGCCATATAATAATGTCCATAAGGACCACATATCATTCCTTAAGAATCATATACATATACTAGGGATCAAGTATGTGTCTCACAAGACTTCACACATGTTCCAAAGAATATATATATAACCCGAAGGACCGCGTAGACCCTCGACTCTTGGCATGCCAACTATACCCCTAGCTCTCAAGACACATAACATGGGCACTATATTTTATATCCTTGCACATATTCATGTAACATATCACATATTCATATAAGCTCGTAGCTTCATTCACACATACATGTAATCACGTAGTTCATGTAAATTCTCATATGATTTCATATTCATATAATCACATAATTCACTTACACATAGCACATTTTTCATGTAATTCACAGATATCCCTTAGTTTATATCTCTTGATCATTTAATCATAACTTCTTATCACATATCTCATAGTCATGTATTTCATATAGTCTTATATTTCATTATCTTATTACTTATATTTATTCTCCTATGATTCTTCATAAACCTCTATTTCCATTTCCCTACATATCTTAACTTATCTTATATATTCATATAATTTCATAACTTATTTGATATTCTTTCATTAACACTTAATAGGGTGTGTACATAAGCCACATATCACATACAAAACATATCAATTCATATAATCAAGCATACATACACTCATATTCAACTCATGCCTTTAATCATGATTTCATATGTAACTCTTCATGAAATAGACTCATCGCAAGTCTTCTTCCCATCACCTATCATATATTATTGAATATGCACTCACCTGGCCTCACTAGTCAATTTCAATATCTTATCTTTCCCTTTGATCGATCTTACTTGACAATGATTCTTGAACTCGTTCAGGCTCTAAATCTCGTTTAGGCTCTGAATCTTTTATCTTGAAGCTCACGGCTGGAGAAGAAGAAGAAAGAAAGAAAGCTCTGGAGAATTCTCTCATTCCCCACGTGCTTATTACCCTTTATAAAGGGCAATAAAATCTTTCCTGAGAAATGACCATAATACCCTTATTACTTCCAAAATTTGTTATAAAATCCAACACCAACATTTTTCATTAAAATCGCTAAACTTTTAATCTTTCTGAGATTGGTCACTAAATTACCAAAAATTTCATTTTGGTCATTGACCCGACTTTTGGGATGTTACAGGAAGAGTCGTAAGTCTGTCTCAAAAGATGCAGGGACCTGTGATATTTTTAAAAATAAGTCTCTTAAAATATTTTATAATAAAGTGAAATTGTAAAATATCAATGTTTATCATAATACGATTGTTTTTATTAAATAAAAAATTCAAACATATAAAACTAAGACTATATCACAAAATAACTTTACAACGTGATATTTTATTTAAAAAGTGTCATATTCAGAACATTCTTAAAAGCAAAGTCGTGATATTTTTGTCAAAATTTGGGACTCTCAAATTTTAGGACCTTGTGAAGATGTGATATATGATATGTCACACTTATAAATGAACGGACCTAAAAGAAAAAAATGCAAAATATATAAATGAATAAGTAAAAGTTAACAATCGACCAACAACCTAAGATTAATGTCGTTACTTATGGTAAAAAAGATATGAACATTATGAGAGAAGTGGTGCAAGAGAGAAGAGAGAGAACAATAGCTATAAAAGAAAATTAAAAGATATGATCACATCACTCTCTTTCAAGTGAAATATTAATTTTGAGTATCGTAAATAGAGAAAATAAATATTAAAAGTCGTTAATTAGATATAATCCAGTTTGACTTCCAAATAATTATATTTAACTATTAAAGTATAATTGTTAGAACTATGAATCGACTAAAAAAATCTATGGTCCAATCGTTTAAACTAATATAGCTGTAAATTTTATAAAAATAATAATAATGTCGTCGCTGTAAAACGTTAAAAATAAAAAAATAGAAAAATAAAAATATTTTTAAATCTTTTATTTAATTATGATTGATCGAATTTGACCACAGATCCAATTATTAGAATATTAATGACATTTTAAAAATAAAAAACAATTAAAATACCCAAAAATAAACCAAGCAAAAATGTGAAAACAAAAGGGTAAGAATAAAAGGAATCAGAAAGTAGGGGTTGCCAGCTCATAATAACACCTCGCATAGAACTACGCTTATACTTACAGCTAAGACTCACTTCCACGGCGAACTTTAAGAATTTCCACATTTCCTCCTCCCTTCGTCTTTTCTCTGTTCAAATGTAGAAATTAACCCCTCAAAATACTAATCCAATCAATTAACCACTTAATCATTTCTCAATAATTTAACCTAGATCAATACTCTGATTTTATTTTATTTTTGAATTGGAGGAGTTGAATTTCGAGACGGTTGTAGCTTAGATTCGGAGCAGGCGGAATCCGATGGCAACGGTGTTCAGTCCCGGACGAAGCCCCGGGAGTTCGAGGATTCAGCTAGGAACAGCTAGCGGAGTCTCGAGGCTTAGATCTCCGTCTCTCAAGAAGCCGCCCGAGCCGTTGCGTCGGGCGGTGGCGGATTGCCTTTCTTCCTCGTCGTCGTCTTCTTCTTCGTTGCCGGCGGCGGGTCCCGGAGGTGTTAGCTCGTATCACCATGGTAGTCCGTTGTTTTTAACTGAAGCTTCGAGGATACTTCGGGTTCGTTATTATTCTTTGTTGGATTTGAAATTTTTCTTTCTGTTTTATTATTAGATCTTGAAATGTTATTGCGTATTTTCATTTTGTGATATGATGAATGTTTTTCTGCTGCTTATGTGTATTGACTAAAAGGATAGACTACATAATAGATTTTTCTTTTAGTCTTCGTTTATGTGGCAAGGTATGCAAACATTGATATATTGGCAGAAGATAGAGAATTATGAATGCAAAAATGTATGTAAATTAGTGAAAAGTCAATAATGAAAATGGACATCCTATTTGATTGACAATGAGAATGACTATGAATTAAGTGTTAAGTTTATGGTTAAAAAAATAATAAGCGTGCATTTTGTTATTTTCAAAGTTAGATTTGAAATTTAGGTCTTTGCAATTTGTCTTCTGTTTCAGGCATCCAGAAATTAGTAGAAGCACAACGGAATACAGCTTAAGTTAATTAATTACTTTCTAATTTTGCCTTTTCGTTTTTTTCATAATAAAGTGTTTAAGCATTTTTCTTTTGCTTCACCTTTAGAATTTGTATTCAAATTTTGTAATGTTATAGTTAATATATTTTAGATTTTTTCTATAGTTTTTGTTAGTATATATTTTAGTTTTTGGGGTACTCTTTTCCTCCTTCCACTGGTTGACCCTTTCCTTTTCGAAAGGGTCAATTACGAAGGAGGTTTTTAATGAGACCTCCAACTTATATAAAAAAAGTATATATTTTAGTTTTTTTCTATAGTTTTTGTTACTATATATTTTAGTATTAGACCATTTTTCCTCACCTGTGGAATTGGTATTTGAACCTTATAATATCAGAACTTATATTTACCAATGACAGGACTATCTGGCAGCACCCTCAACAATTGACCAGTCTTACATTGCTATTTTAGAGCATACAATTGCAGAGAGGGAACGCAGGTAATTTATTTGCATAGTGTACATATGTATCCGACCATAAAGTGTTTTAGAGAGAGATGGGATTATGAACATGTTTGGGTGGTAAATAGATTGGAGACATGGATTTAAAGTGATTGTGAGGTACTGCCTATTTCTGATAAATGATGGTGTGGTGTTAGATTGTTTGAGCAAGTTGCTGATGTGTTGAAAGCTTAGAATTCTTCATCCATATGACAGTATATTTACACCAAATTTATGCAATGGTGTACAAGTCTTGTGTAAGATCTAGAAACATCCACGAGTTATGTTTGGATGTACGGAATTTTTATTGAGACAACGGAAAAAGAATATACAATTTATTTCAATAATTACTGAACACTTGAATGGAATATAATATTGCGAAGAAAAACATGTAAAGTAAAAAAGGTTGCGTGACTGTTATAAATAATTGTTGTCAGGTGAATTATTATTTTATAGTTGACTACCGATTCAACCACTGTTGCATGTCATACAAAGTTTACTTTTTTCCCTTTTTACTCCAGTCATTGCACTTACCACAGTGCTCAACTGATTTTCATTTCTGCTAATGCGCATATAATTTGTGCCAGCCCAGCTGTAGTGGGAAGGTGTGTGGCACTCCTGAAGCGTTACCTCTTAAGGTATGCAGTTCTTGCCATGAACTTATATTTCTCTTATTTTCATTTTGTGTAGAATAGGGAAGTGTTTGAATGTTTATTGGTTTCAGAATGCAATATTTTAAGTTTGAACCAGAATTGACATCTGACAGAAAACAGAAGATAAATTTTAAAAAAAAGACAAAAAAATAAAAAATTGAAGTTCTTATTTTCTAATGTGCTTTAATAGTATATTTATGTCCCCTATTTAACACTTAGTAAATAACTCCTAATAAAATACTCTATCGGAAGATAAAGTTTATCAAGAGATAAAGATAACAAGAACTCCTAATCTTAGAAGACTCCTAAAATAGTTGGTACTCTTAATAAACGAGTAAAGTAAGCATAGCTAGGACTCTAATACAATTCGACAACATCTAACAAGCATTCATAAAATTAGGTTAGCACTATAGTCTCTTTGTAGATTTAGAACTTGCTGTGGTTGATATCCAGTTTTGGACTTGACTGAAAAATTTATCAAGACCATAGGTTCCAAGATTTGTAGGGTCTATTTTATATTGTTGTTTTGTTTTAAAATTTTGATTGTATTATATTTGGTGCAGGTATAAGCCCAGCGAGGAGACACTGTTGCAAATAGATCGGTTTTGTGTCAACTTAATTGCTGAATGTGACATTAGTCCAAATCGAAGGTTGTCACCTTGGTCTCGGTCTTTAAATCAACAATCTAGTTCGTCAAAAACACCAACACCATCTACAAGTGCTTCTCCTTTGTTGCCTGTGTCTAGTTTTGCTTCTGTAGCCCTTGTAAAGTCATTGAATTATGTGAGATCCTTAGTGTCTCAACATATTCCAAAGCGTTCGTTCCAGACAGCAGCTGTTGCTGGGGCATCCTTGGCATCTAGGCAGTCACTTCCTTCTTTGACATCATTGTTGAGTAGATCTTTCAATTCCCATCTATGCCCTGTGAATGTTGGAGAGATTACAGAAAAGAAAGATGCTACAACTTTATCTGTTTCAAACTTGTCAAACATTGAGGAAGCTGATGGAATAGAGAATCCTGAATATATTGCACATGATGTTTTGAAATGGCGCTGGCTCAGGGATCATCAGTCACCAGTGTTTACTGAAAGGTAATTGATTTTGTAATTTGCATATGCTTATCATGTATCAAATAGTTCATGTTGGCTTTATTTTCTCCCGTTATAAGTCTTCTTAGTCACTGATATTTTTGGCTTTTAACACTGCCCTTCCATGTGTTACGCTTCTTCTAAATCAATTTAACATTTGAAATGTTCTATATTAAAAAACAGTGATCTACCTGCGAATGTTCTAGACATGAGAACACATAATTTCTTAGAAGTAGGAGCAGCGGCTTTACTTGTTGGAGACATGGAAGCTAAAATGAATGACAAGCCTTGGAAACATTTCGGCACAGCTGATATGCCTTATCTTGATCAACTCTTACAGCCCTCACCAGTCACAACAATTGGCAATTCCTCTTCTGCTCGCTCCCATTTGAGAGCAATTACTGCATTGAAACGCAGTAAAGGAGAACCTCATCAAATTTGGTATGTTCTTCCCTTACTCTCAGATTATTTCTTTGATGGCTTTATGTTTTGTCTCACTTACCATTATATTATTTGCACGGTTCCTAGGGATTTGTTCTGCGATGTCAGACTTATTACTTATATGGTTGTGCTGTCAAACCTATCTTTGCTATTTGATGGATGGGAGCGGTCATAGACTGGTAGCCTTTTAAGGCAATGATTTCAAGCTTCTTTCCTAGTTAAAAGTTCGGAATCTTGTATCTTTAGGTTCTGATGGTCGATAAAACCTTCTTCTTTATTAATATATTATGACTGCTCTTATGGAGTTTGTCAATTTGGTTTAGTTGGATGGCCTGGGACTTTGAAACTGTGGATGAACTCTGCTTGTTTTTGTTTGTTGGTACCATACTACACACACACGATCTGATGTAAACCATACTCCAGATTCAACAAAAGTTTTAACCAATCCTGTTAGAAAGATGTATGTTAATATGAATAACTTTCTTTTCATACTAAAATTCTTTGCTGCTTTCACTCGGTTATGAATGTTTGACATAGGTACACTTATTTGCATGTTTTGACTTGTTGGCGCCATCCTATGTACAGCCAATCTGATGTTAGCCATAATCTGGGTTTAAATGAATTTATTCAGTCCTGTTAGAAATACATGTGCCTGTTTAAGAGAAGATTAACTATGCATAGTTTAAGCTTTAATTTTGAATGAAGTTGTAAGGTTACAGTTTGTGTTCTTGCATTTGATTTGTGTAGGGATGATTCTCCAGCAAGCACATTTCGTCCACGAGCCCGACCACTTTTCCAATATCGTCACTACAGGTGTTCAATTTGACATATTTTAATTGATAGTATATTTCTTTTGTAATTTTCTAGGTAATGAATGTTGCCTATATTGCTAGTTTACTAGGTTCCGGGATTAAAAGGGATCTTCTCCTTTTTTCCTGTTTACAAATACTTCAAATTTAATTCGAGGACATTTATGTTGTTGAGTTGAACATGAAGTATTTACTAACATCCATTCACATCAATTTTTGTAATTGTTCCATAGCATCGTGATCTGTGGCTGGGTCTATACTGTTTGTTTTTGTGCTGGAATGCATAATTATTGTATTTATTTTGGAGTTCTGTTTCTTTCAAAACATCGACAGGTCTCAATGTGGTTGAGTATATGTCTATGGTTTTTTTCTCTAATCAAATATTTTTGTGTGCATCAGTGAACAACAACCGCTACGTTTGAACCCTGGTGAGGTATGCGAGGTCATTGCTGCTGTCTGCTCTGAGACATCTTTTACGAATGCTAATGCCATGACGGTGTCTTCTAGATTAAATAGTAACAATCCAAAGCCATCAATGGATGTGGCTGTGAGCGTCCTCATTAAACTGGTTATTGACATGTATGCTTCTTTGTTCTTTACTTTAACACTTTTGTCCTATATTGTATGTTATACATGTAACCTTTCTCTGTCCCTCTCTCGACCTTCTTTTGTCCTTATAAAAGTGTTATTACATTATCTGTAATTAGCCTAAGGTGCATAAGTTATTTTGGAATCATTATCACGTAAATGATGAAAATCTTTCCTCTTTTTGTTTTATCCTGCAATCTAAGTACATGGTAATCTAATGCACCTGGAATAGTTCACTAATTCTTTGTTATCCCGAAAAAAATGTGTTAATCCATTTTAAGTATCTGAAGTTGACATCCCCTTAATAATGTTGTGAGCACGCTTTAAATTGTCACTTCCTTGGTGGAAGTCTGACCCATTACAAGAGTCGGTTATTCATTAACGTTACCAGGGGTTTGATCCTGAATTGCGAATGTAGCTTGTTTGTGCACAGAATCATGTGATTGACTTTGCTTATTTTTCTTGGATTGTTTTTTTTTCTTTTAAATTTCATATTTAATGATGATTGTGGGTACGGAGTTCCTGAAAATTTTGCTTTGTAGGTATGTCTTGGATTCTGGAACTGCTGCTCCTCTCACTCTATCTATGCTTCAGGTTTTTGTTAATTACATTTTTAGTTCTTTACTCAAAGTAGCATGAAAGCATTTTTTAACTCTTGCCTCTATTTTATGATATTTTTTACAGGAGATGCTTAGTTCTCCAAGGACAGCATGTAGGGTGCGTGCTTTTGATTTAATTCTAAACCTTGCAGTCCATGCTCACTTGTTAGAGCCGCAGATAATTGATGATAATTCTGCAATTGAGGAAGACTATCCTCAGGAATTACTTTTAAATAGTGAAGATCAGCTTATCACACAAGGGATAAGGAAAATAGATTCTACCAAGAAGTTGGGAACACCCTCAGCTATTGATAAATTTGAGTCTTGGATTTTAAACATTTTATATGAGATACTTCTCCTTCTTGTTCAGGTACAGGCAGTTTTTAAACTGAAACTTTTGCTCTTTCACTGCTTTGAGTTTAGGATGTTCCGTCCCTGCTCCTCTTTACTTCCATTTTACTTTTCCCATGCTCTTGCATCTATTCACAGTATTCTTTATGATCTCTCATGCTTTTAACACTTGTTGCAGACTGATGAGATGGAAGAATCTGTGTGGGCTTCTTCCCTAAGCTGTTTACTATATTTTGTTTGTGACAGTGGCAACATTTGGCGAAATCGATTAAAAGGACTTGACATCAGGGTGAGTCAGTTTTGCCTGCCTAACTACCATTTCCTGGAGCTTTATCAAAGTTACCATATTATTCTCTTACCTTGATTTAACCCAAGAGAGCTTTGTCTGTGTGTGTGGAAGAAAATATGTCTAGGAAGTGATTTGGAAGTTTTATTTCTTGTGCGGCACGTCTTCAATTTTTTAAAGTACTTGTCCTGTAAGATAGGCAGCATCCAATCTAAACATCTATGAAAAAAATGAAACATCCCTGTTGACTTGTTGGTCTCCAATTGATAACATGGCACTTTGCATCTACCGTGTTAAACTTCTGAGGCTTGTTTTAGCAATGTGAAGTGCCTCTCAACAAAATTCAAACTCTGCTTTGCAAGAATTTCTACAATCAATCTATGCAAAATGTTATCTTTAGCATTACAATTCCTCTGAATAGTCCAGATGCCACTTTATGTTGGGTAATGCATGGAGCAATTTTTTCTTTACTGTAGAGGGATTGCAAGATTGAAAGTTGGTAGGATTTACTAGATACGTGATTCAGTTCTAACCGTTTTGTTTCCGAGAAATTGGGTGGTAATTGGTATGCCTCAATGGAAATACAATCCATTTCTTGTTGTAAAATTGCATATGTTGAAAGAGTTTATTGGCTTATATTTTCTATTTTGTTTTACATCATGCACCTTCTGCATTATATGTTGATAGAATTCGCTTGATATGTGATTCAGTTCTATCCTTAGGTTTTGTGGATGTTGGGATTGGTGTTTGGTTTGCCTCATTGGAAACATATTCTCACCTTTTCATTGGAAATCTAAATATGTTGGAACAATTTAGGTTAAAATGGAAAAATAAGAAAAAAACCCTGAATCTTACCACTTTTCCTATGTAAGCTGATATTTTATTGCATACAAGTATTCCCTTAATACTTAATCTGTACCTGGATTTTTTCCCAAGATTTTTCAATTTTCAGCCACATCAACGGAGCACTTAACTTTCATTTGCAGAAAAAAAATCCAACTAGCATTGGCTGTAACAAAAGTTGACTTTTGTATGGGAAGGTGCTTATTTGGACGGAAATTGAAGTTTACAGACTTATCTGGGTTGATAAAATTTTGGGCACTCTTTTCCTCCTTCCAATGGCCATTGAGTTTTTAGGAGCTTGATGGTTATGAAGGGTTTTTTTTAATGAGACCCTATTCTTATCAGAAAAAAAGTCTAGTGCTTACTTGGGAAATGTGTAAAATGCAGGGTCTCGTCTTTTATGTTAGCCATAACTCTAATTTTCATACGTCTTTTGTTGTATGCATACTCGGCGATTTTTCTTTATCAAAACCATAGTCATGCAATCTTGTTAATCAAAGCTGACCTGGGTTGGATTTCCTTCAAGGAAATTTATGACTCAGTTGGTTTTAGCTTAATCTATTGAAACTTGGTGATATTATGGCAATAAATCTTATTCTCATTTGTCGTCTCTTCACTGTCTTCAGGTTGTCAAGACACTTCTGGTGATTAGCCGGATAAATTCCTGGGCTGAACTTGTTCATTGCAAGCTTGTTTGTATCCTAACAAACATGTTATATCAGGTACCTGGTGAATCTACTACGACCATCATGAGTGCGGCAAGCTTTCTTGTTGACCAGCTTGACCTGATTGGTGGAATTGATTTTATCTTCTATGAGGTATGCTGATTGGTTTGATATGGGCATGTCTAGAAATAAGATTGATTTTGTCCTCCTCAAAAGGCAACAATCTTGCTGCTCTTGGTCTTTGTGTAAAAATTTCAGCTCTAATGAAAAATCCTTTGAACCCTACCCGATATTTAGTAACATGACAGAAACAGGGGATTTCAATTGCTTAACAGTTTCTTTTTTTTTTGGAAATGTGTGTCTTGTTCTAAGTTATGGCTTGCAATGTTCATATTTATGAAGTTGTTGGACCTAAGAGAAACTAACTGACATTATGATTTTTAAACACCTCATAAATATGGAGGTTAATTGAAATATTCACTAAGTTCTTTTTTTTTTTTTTGATAAAAGTAGGAGGCCTTATTAAAAACCTCCCTCATAGTAGTCCCTTTCCCGAAGGAAAGAAACGACTAGCGGAAGGAGGAAAAGAGTACCTCAATTTATTCACTAAAGTTCTTAAAAATAGAGAAATACTTTAATGTGCTTGATTTTTCTTTCAATTAACGAGTGCAGTATTCATTGTCAACCTCAAGGGAAGAAAGAAAACATCTTTATTTGGTGCTTTTCGACTATGTTTTGCATCAAATAAATGAAACATGCATATCAACCGGAGTTTCCGAATATACTGCTGATGAGATTCAGCCAATTGCTGCACTGCTCTCTTTGGCTGATGCACCGGAAGCCTTTTGTATCTCTGTTAAGCTGGGGGTGGAAGGAATTGGGGAGCTTTTGAGAAGATCAATTTCTACTACATTGTCTAGATACCCTAACAGCGAGCGATTAAATATGGTAATTTCTTGTGAATATTTTTCTGATGTTTGTGTTGAGAAAACCAGTATTTTTTTTAATGTTCGGCAGGTGGGGGTAGGGATGATAGATCAGAAGCAGGCTGTTGATTTGTTCTGTTGTGTGTGATCACTTATATGATTCCATTGTTCGATTAATTTCATATGTGCTAGTATTGCTTTTCCATTAAGATTAAAAATGAATCAGTGGAGGGTTTAGCATTATCATGTTAAATTGTGTGTATTGTTCACCTCACCTCTACTAATATTTACGGGAGTTTGCCTAGGTGATAACCAACCAGCTGAATTGCATGTATATATCTGCTTTCTGATTATTATTTGTTTTCTTTTGCAGCTTTTGGAAAATATCACAGAGGAATTAGATATAATAATACGTTCATTTACACATTTGGACACAGAGTTTTTGCATCTGAAACAGATAACAAAATCAAACAAGCTGAAGGACAATATTGAGGGTTCATCTATGCAAAATGGTGTTGCAATGAAAGCCAAGCTTGCTTGGTCCATTGTACATTCTCTTCTTCATTCAGATAGAATCCTTTACCGCCAAAATGGATTTATCTGGTTAGGAGATCTGCTTATTGCTGAAATAAGCGAGGCAAGGAATGGGAGTATATGGTCCAATGTCAGGAGCTTGCAGAATAAAATTGCTTATGCTGGTGTTCATGATTCCTCTGGTCCTTCTGATATACCTTTGTCCATCTGGTTGATGTGTGGTCTGCTAAAGTCAAAGAACAGTTCCATTAGGTGGGGCTTCTTAGTTGTTCTGGAGAGGCTTCTCATGCAGTGCAAGTTTTTGTTAGATGAGAGTGAAATGCAACAGCCAAGTAACAGTGATGTTAGCAATGATAATAGAGATGCCCGACTTGAGAACGCAAATACAGTGATAGACATCATGAGCAGTGCTTTGTCCTTGGTAGCTCAAATAAACGAAACAGACCGCATAAATATTTTAAAGGTATTTTGCATGGAGAGCTTTCAGACCATCTTCAAATTGTCATTGATATTTGAAATCATCAAATTTGATTTGATGAAGATGTGTGATTCATGTTGATATTTCTGAAGTAAAATGCCCATGTTATACTTTTCTAGCTTAGCTTGGACTAAAATGCTACTTCATTAGCTGGTCCTCTGATTAGTGCATTTCTCTATTTTCAATCCCTGGGAAAGAATCCTTGGAGGAATGAGGGTGATTTTGATTAAGCATTTTCTGCTTAGTTTAATCTTAAAATAGTTTTTGCTACCTTTAACTAGTTTCCAAGTTCGTAGTTTTTAATTTACACCTAAGTGACCTTAGTTAATATATTGTGGTTTAGATTATTGGTTACTTAAAATCAATTTATGTATGAAAGAAAAAAGGAAAGCAAAGCTAAAAAAATGATAGGGGGCTCCTATTTAGCAATGCCCCTCAAAGTCTTAGGTGAATACTTTATGCAAAAATGGTGTTTCTATCTTTCGACATTCTGATTTGTTACAAGTGTAGCTTTGGTATCTTTTTGATATTGCACATCTCTTTTCTAGGTTCTTTCTCTCTCTAGTGTCGGTATTATTTAGGCCTTTAGATCCTGTGAGGTTCCTTGTTTGACCGACCTTGCTTGACACATGATCTTACTTACACCTGCCCAAATAGTGTGATCTTTGTGGTGTAGTAAGTGGTTTTTCATGTTTTAACCAGTAGTAAGTGGTTTTCATGTTTTAACCAGGAGTGACTTTGGTGAAGGAAAAAATCCTTTGTTTAGATCTCTTTATACTGTCAGGAACTATTGAGCCATTTCAAAATTCTGTAGAGATACCAAGTCTCATGAATTTCTTATGAATCATTCAAGCATCTATTTGACAATTTTATCATATACATTCTCATGCTTTGTTGAACTGTGGTGTTTTATCCATCATCTATTGACTATAAATATAATAAAATGTTTCTTGTTATTGTACTCGATGTTCGTCTCCTCTGAGATGGATTTATCTACACATATTTCCAAACAAATAGAAGATGCACAACATAAAATAGATTGTATACATCTGAGATTTTGAGGATTTTATCATTAATTTTTGCATTATGCATTTGAATACTTATGCACTGTTTCCTAATGTACACTTAAGAACTCTCTTCACAACTCCTTTCTCTTTGTTGAACAGATGTGTGATATTCTATTCTCTCAATTGTGCTTGAAAGTTCCCCATTCACCTGCAATGCAATTTGGTGAAGGAATACAACGGCCTAAAGTTTTCACTTGCTCGGAAGAAATTAAAAAAGCTAATAATGTTGAGTTTGTAACTCAAGCAAGCTGTCACTGGGAGGAAATAATAGAGGAAACTGATAGCAAATCAGGCTACGGTGTTAGTAGTCCAATTTGTGAGACAACTTCTATGGCTGCACTGCTACTCCAAGGACAAGCCATTGCACCAATGCAACTAGTTGCACGTGTTCCAGCTGCTCTGTTTTATTGGCCTCTGATCCAACTTGCAGGTGCAGCAACTGACAACATTGCACTAGGTGTTGCTGTTGGAAGCAAAGGAAGAGGGAACCTTCCTGGTGCTACTTCCGACATTCGGGCTACCCTTCTTTTGCTTCTAGTTGGTAAATGTACTGCTGATCCTACGGCTTTTCAGGAAGTTGGCGGAGAAGAATTTTTCAGGTGATCTCGATTTCTTTGCTTATGAAGAATGAATTTGACAGAAGCCTACCCATGGACTTGTCAAAATATAAACATTCTTTTTTACCCTTCCTTTCAGGGAACTGTTGGATGATACTGATTCGAGGGTGGCATATTACTCTTCGTCTTTTCTATTGAAGGTAAGAAAACTCTTATCTTGCATTTTTCTCTCGTCCGCTTATTTTATTTTATTTCCTATTACCCTTTTGTTTCCCTCCTTAATCCTTCTCGTGGTTATGCCTTTCCACTAAGCCATTCAAATTTGGGAACTTTGCAGAGAATGATGACCGAGAAACCAGAAAAGTATCAACACATGCTACAAAAGCTTGTCTATAAAGCTCAGCAGGTAAGTAATTCCTCAATGCTCATTACGAAGTCACTTTATTACAATTATGAAGCACCGACACATGGGAATAATTCATGTTTTCTCTGTTGTAATTTAGTACTGCTACTTTTAAGTTTTTTGTTGCTGAAGTATTTGTTTTTCTGCGTAAAATCTGCAGAGTAACAATGAAAAACTGCTTCAGAATCCATATCTTCAGATGCGTGGGATATTCCAGCTATCAAATGAGCTTTGAACTTAGTTGTATTTGATGATTGTTCTCTGCAGAGGTTAAATATACATACGGCTGGAGGCACTGCAGTGTTCATTAACATGACTTTCCTTATGAAATTTTAACCCTAGCAACATTTGGCCCGACTCTCCAAGTCCGTTCTTGATGTATGCTTTTGATTTAGTGAGCCTGCACAAGATAGTTTGGAGTCCTAAAGTAGTTCTAAGTTTCATAGTTAACGAATTTAGGTGAAGAGTGCGAGATTCCAAGCCTGACTCCCTTTCTAGAAAAGAAAAGATTAGAAATTGTGAGCTTCGAGACTGGATGACGGTGTGAATTCTTTGCATGCTGTTATATATGCTCCCAGATCTTCTGTACAAATAGAGATGAAGGTGAGACCTTTTGTTTCCATATACTTGTTCCGACATTAATTAAATGGACTTTTGCGACTTCGTAAAAATATCTGATTAATTCTTGAGACCTTAAATTTCAGGAATGCCAGGAGAAAAAAATTGAGTGATTGGAGCTGTCAATTCTTATGCCTTTTGGTTCCACTTCTGGATTGTGTATGTCAAGGGATTGACATATCTTCAGGTATTCCCTATCTAACTCCGGTTGTATTAAGTTATCCGTTCGCACACATCTTTGTATGTTCAAACTCAGTTGTTCCTTTCTGCTATCATGCTGATGTTGTTAGACATCCCGCATACAACACACTTCCGGATACAGGTATAGGGTATGGTCCTTTTAGTATATAGAAAAAACTCAATTGTTTCTTTCTGCCATCACGCTGCTGTTGTTAAAGAATACCCTACACATATCTAACACTTACCTTTAACTTCTGGTAATTAGGTTAAAATACTTGCACATTGTTTATCGATTTTTTTGAAGATCTGTTTTGAACATGTTGAACAAATTTATTCCCCGTATCGAAATTTAAGGATAGCTGTTTTAGAACCTTAGAATATACTATCATCATTACCGGTATCATTGCTGACAATAATATTTCTTCGTTTTGGAACAGTTATGCTTGTGCTTTACGCAACACAGAAGAATTTATGGGAGACTAAAGGAGACTCTTTTCTTTGTACAGAGATTTTTCCATGGCATTCCTTTTTTAACATATTACATTTCGTGACTTCGGGTTATTATCGGCTACTTTTTAAAGGCCATCCTTAGTAATAATAATAAAAACCCTCGATGGATGTTTGTTGCCGCGACCTCGATAAAAAGTAGGACTTTTTAACCGTCTCGGATTCCAGTAAAGGGGAGTTTGTCACTTTGGATGTCTGTTTTTAAGGGGCATCTGACATTGTAAATATGCGAATTTGGGTTTTGCTTTTTTGTCTTAGACTATTTATATTCTTGTGAAACGTTTGCTTCATATGCAAGTTTTGATTGTTTGATTTTGAAGTAAAAATACATTTCGAAAATGATTCTTTTCTAATTCTATTTAATATATATTAATATCTTCCTTCAATATATATATATCCATAATTTTAAATTTAAATAAAATATACTATTAATTAAATAATTATATTAGGCCAAATTAACGTGTTGCAAATATATATTTTTTAAGTTAGATCTCATGAATTTTTCATAAATATACATGCCATTTTTCTAAATAAATGCAAACAAGTCGAAAGCAAAATGAAATTTCCCTAAAGTATAATTATGATTTTTGTCCCTCATTTATTTTAAAACTTAAGATTTAATTTCTCTATTTCTATTTGACACGATTTGATCCTCTTTACTAAAACAATGTTATGAATAGGTTGGAATTTGCATCTGCTTAACCCATGACGTGCATTTGTTTTTTGAAAAAAAAATTAATATGTGATTGACTTGTAAATTTATTATTAATTAAATACTGACTTTTTTTTAAAATAGTTTAGAGTGAATTTAAAATAGTATGTGTTTATAATTTCTCTTAATCATTGATAATTATATATTATGCAGACGTAATTGTTCGAGTACGTAACCTTTAAAAAGAATAATATTCACTTCAACTACTAAAATCGTTTAGTGGGTTAAACAAAATTCCCTTTTATCAAATTGACTTTCAATATATAATTCACGTTATCGTTTTAATAATATCATTCTAACAATATCTTTAAACAGTGTTATCAATTTGGAATACTAATAATAATATAAAAGTTCAAAAAAAGTAAGCTCTGTCAAGTTTTAATGAGGGTCTGATTGATGGACCCATCTCTTCTGGAATGGATGCCTAGTGGAGCGAAAATCGCTACTGTTTGTGACAGGAAGGCACTGAATGAGGGTCCATCAATAGTTTTCTATGAAAGAAATGGGTTTAGAAAGAAGCTCATTTAACATTGGGGAACCGATTGATGCAATTGTAGAATTGCTGAAGTGGAATTGTAGTTCTGATCTTCTCGCAGCTGTTGTCAGATCTGGAAATTATGATTCCGTTAAGATCTGGTCTTTTAGCAGCAACCATTGGTATCTAAAGCATGAAATCAAATACCCAAGGAAAGATGGAGTAAGATTCATGTGGGATCAAACAAAATCACAGCAATTAATTTGTTGGTCTCTTAATGAGCAGGTCACAGTTTACAAATTCATCTGGGTAACAGCTGTCATGGATGAGTCAACGGCTTTAGTTATTGATGGCTCTAATATACTTGTGACCCCCCTTTCTTTGTTCTTAATGCCCCCTCCTATGCATTTATTCAGCCTTAATTTCCCAAATGCTGTTCGAGAAATGGCTTTTTATTCCATGAATGGTAAGAATCACTTGGCTGTGTTTTTATCAAATAACTGTCTCTGTGTTGCAGAGTTTCCTACGCCTGATGCTTGGGAATCTCTAGAGGGCAAAGAATTTAGTGTGGAACCATGTGCATCTGAAACGCCATTGGGATCCTTTGTACATATAATATGGCTGGACTCACATATGCTTCTTGCTGTTTCTCATCATGGATTCAGTAACAGTAATTGTTATTTCCAAACCTCTTCAAATGAGGATAGGCTTCTAGGTTACTATTTGCAGGAAATCGAGCTCACTTGTTCTGAGGATAATGTCTCAGGTCTACTGACATGCTCTGGCTGGCATGCGAAAGTTTCATATCGAAATTTGTTGGAAGGACTTGTAATGGGTATTGCTCCCAATCCTGCTAAAGAATGTTCAACTTTTGTTCAGTTTGATGGTGGAGAAGTTTCTGAATTTACATCTAAGTCGGGAATTAACAAACGAGATTTTAAACATGATGAGTTAAGGTTTTCTTCATCTTGCCCCTGGATGAATGTGGTTCTAGTTGGTGCAACTGAACCATCAAAGGTTTTGCTTTTTGGTCTTGATGATATGGGTTGGCTGCATGTCGGTAGGAAAATACTATGCAGCAACTGCAGCAGTTTCTCATTTTACTCTAATTTAGCGGACAACATAATCACACATTTGATTCTTGCAACAAAACAAGATTTGCTCTTTATCGTGGACATAAGTGATATATTGCATGGAGAATCAGAATTAACATATGAAAACTTTATCCATATTGGTAGCAAACGGAAGGAAGAGGAGAATATTAGCTTCATAAATATTTGGGAAAGAGGGGCCAAAATCATTGGTGTTTTGTATGGAGATGAAGCTGCTGTCGTATTGCAAACAAATCGTGGAAATCTGGAATGCATCTGTCCAAGAAAACTGGTGCTAGTCTCAATTGTCAATGCTTTGAACCAAAGACGCTTTAGGGATGCACTTCTTATGGTGAGGCGACACAGGATTGATTTCAATGTGATTGTTGATTATTGTGGATTGCAAATGTTCAATCAATCAGCTTCAGAGTTTGTCATGCAAGTCAAAAATTGAGTTACATAACTGACTTTGTTTGTTCCATAAAAAATGAAAATGTCGTGGAGAAACTTTACAAAAAGTTTCTCTCTTCACCTTGCTGCAAGGAGCAAAAGAATCTGTTAACCAATGATTTCAAGGGTTCTGATGCTAGTATAGATGCAAATGACAAGGTGTCATCAGTGCTTCTGGCCATAAGGAGGGCTCTTGAGGAACAAGTATCCGGAAGTCCTGCAAGGGAGCTCTGTATTTTGACCCCCCTGCTCTTGAAGAGGCTTTGGAGAGGGTAAAGGTCATCCGGGAGATGGAGTTATCAGGTTCTAGTGACCCAAGACAAGCACATTGCCCTTCCGCTGAAGAAGCTCTCAAAAATCTGCTGTGGTTATCAGATTCAGAGGCCGTCTTTGAAGCTGCTTTGGGCCTTTATGATTTGAACCTTGCAGCTATTGTGGCACTGAATTCACAGCGAGACCCTAAGGAATTTCTTCCCTTTCTCCAGGAATTGGAACATATGCCTATGCTCTTGATGCACTATAACATTGACCTTAGGCTGCACTGGCTCGAGAAAGTTCTCAAACATATTGTATCTGCAGGTGATGTCCATTTCTCTGATTGCATGAACCTTATGAAGAAAAATCCTCAAATTTTTCCCCTAGGACTTCAGCTAATAACTGATCCTACCAGAAGAGGGCAAGTCCTTGAGGCTTGGGGAGATCATCTTAGCGATGAAAAATGCTTTGAAGATGCAGCCGCAACGTACTTGTGTTGCGTCAATTTGCAGAAGGCTTTGAAGGCAAATCGTGAATGTGGTAACTGGAGTGGTGTGCTGACGGTTGCTGGGCTTTTAAAGCTAGAAAAGAGTGAAGTAATGCAACTGGCTCATGAGCTTTATGAAGAACTCCAAGCCCTTGGTAAACCTGGAGATGCTGCCAAGATTGCTTTGGAATATTGTGGAGATACTAATGCTGGGATTAATTTGCTAATCAGTGCAAGGGACTGGGAGGAGGCTCTGAGAGTTGCATTTTTGTACAGCAGAGAGGATTTAGTCTCGGTGGTGAAAAATGCGGCACTGAATGTTCAAGCAGCCTAATCGATGAATAAGGAAGGGCTGGAGAAGGTGGGGAAATATTTGACTCGTTATTTAGCTGTTCGACAGAGAAGATTGCTTCTTGCAGCAAAGCTGCAGTCAGAGGAAAGGTCAATAAATGATCTCGATGATGATACTACTTCAGAAGCTAGTAGTACATTCAGTGGAATGTGTCTACACCAGAGGGTACATGTCCTGCATACTCTGTGTTTTACATATAGCTTTAAAGTTTGTTGCATTTCACTGTATCTCTTGGTTACATTTACCCGCGGCATATTCTGAATTTTCTGTTTCCTTCTTGCGTTAACAGGACAAGAAAAAGCTCTGCTGCTTCAACTTCCTCACCGCAGCTAGCAGGGCACGAGACGCAAGACGTCAGCGAAGTAGAGGAAAAATTCGTCCTGGCAGGTATGTGGTAATTCAAGTATCAGGATCTCCTTGCTTACATCTATATATTTTGCAGAGTCCATTTTTTTACATTATAGCCCGGGCGAGGAAATGGCTCTTGTAGAACACTTGAAAGCCATGTCCCTAACAGCTGGAGCAAAGAAGGAACTAAAGTCATTGCTTGTTTCTCTTGTAATGCTTGGCGAGGAAGAAACTGCTCGG